GCGGTCATCAAAGAGCTTGAGGGCGCCTTCGGATTGCTGCTCAAGTCCGTCCACTACCCCCATGAGGTCATTGCGGCCCGTAAGGGTTCCCCCCTGGTCATCGGTGTGAAGACCTCCAAGAAGATGAAGGTGGATTTCGTGGATGTTGAATATTCGGAAGATGGTGTCCTTTCCGCGGAGCAGGCCTCCCAGAATGCGGCAGCCAAGAAGTCTGCCACAAGCCTCCTTGCCCCTCCCGACAAGTCTCTGTTGCACCGCTCCCAGTCGCGGGCATTCTTGTCCGACGATGGCATCCCCCAGCCCGTCGAGTTCTTCCTGTCTTCTGACCCATCTGCCATTGTAGAGCACACCAAGAAGGTGCTCTACCTGGAAGATGACGATATTGCCCACATCCACGAGGGACAGCTCAACATCCACCGTCTGACCAAGGATGATGGCACCTCCAACGTCCGTGCTATCCAGACTATCGAACTCGAATTGCAGGAGATCATGAAGGGCAAATTCGATCACTTTATGCAGAAGGAGATCTTCGAGCAGCCCGAGTCTGTTGTCAACACTATGAGAGGTCGTCTGGATGTGGCCAACAAGAAGGTTACCCTCGGTGGTCTCCGTCAGTACATCTCGACTATCCGTCGCTGCCGCCGAATCATCTTCATTGCCTGTGGTACCAGCTACCACTCATGTATGGCTGTGCGTGGTATCTTTGAAGAGCTTACTGAGATCCCTATCGCAGTGGAGCTCGCCTCTGATTTCCTTGATCGAAAGGCCCCTGTGTTCCGGGATGACACCTGCGTGTTTGTCTCTCAGTCTGGAGAGACTGCCGATTCCCTAATGGCTCTTCGCTACTGTCTGGAACGTGGCGCCCTGACCGTTGGTTGTGTCAACGTTGTCGGATCTTCCATCTCTCTCCTCACCCACTGCGGTGTGCACATTAACGCTGGTCCTGAGATCGGTGTGGCCTCGACTAAGGCATACACCTCTCAGTTTGTGGCTATGGTCATGTTCGCTTTGTCACTTAGTGAGGATCGTGCTTCTAAGCAGGAGAGACGTGAGGAGATCATGGAGGGCCTTGGACAGATCTCCGAGCAGTTCAAGCAGATCTTGAAGCTCAACGATCCGATCAAGGAGCTATGTGCCAAGTTCTTCAAGGACCAGAAGAGCCTGTTGCTCTTGGGCCGTGGTGCTCAATTCCCCACTGCCCTTGAGGGTGCTCTGAAAATTAAGGAAATCTCATACCTCCACTGCGAAGCTGTCATGTCGGGCGAATTGAAGCACGGTGTCTTGGCTCTTGTTGATGAGAACCTTCCCATTATTATGATTCTCACCCGTGACAACTTGTTCACCAAGTCCTTGAACGCCTACCAGCAAGTCATTGCTCGCGGTGGTCGCCCCATTGTTATCTGCAACCAGGATGACCCCGAGTTCTCGTCCGCCCTAACTGAGAAGATCAACGTGCCCAAGACCGTGGATTGTCTTCAGGGTCTGCTCAATGTGATCCCACTGCAGCTTATTTCTTACTGGCTTGCCGTTGGCGAGGGACTCAATGTCGACTTCCCTCGCAACCTGGCCAAGTCGGTCACTGTCGAGTGAATGTTTCTTTTAGGGCAAGGTTAGACGATTCTTATGATCCGGTCATCTTTTTATTTTTAGGTGTTTTCAGCTTCGGGACAATGGAATCTCGTTGATGTTTTTTTTTAAAAAAAAATCTCTTTTCTGGGCCTGTTGCCCATTCGTAGGTTTGCCGTAAACAATCTGTGTTCAGCCTGCATTAATTCCATTGGACCAATCTCAACTGCTATGGGTGATGACATTCCATTCCGCCTTCCCCGCCAAATGCGGGACCGGGCGATTTCGCCCCTCGAGCTCTTCTGATGCATCAACACTTGTGTCAAGCTCAATTTTCTCAATCCTCAACGAAACAACCTTTTCTCTGTTTCCTCGTACTATTAATCCCTCCCGAAAAATGACTACTATCAAAGGCCCTGGCGCTGCGCAGACTCACGATGGTGAAAGCGAACAATAACCCTTGGAGAGACCCCCAGCTAACAACTACCTAACAACAGGCTCTGGACTCCGCGTTGCAATTGTGCACGCCAGATGGAACACAGTGATCATCGACCAACTGGTCTCAGGAGCGAAGAAGAGCCTGCTCGCAGCTGGCGTGCTGGAGGAGAACATCACAGTCCAGACAGTTCCCGGCAGCTACGAGCTGCCCCTCGCAGTGCAACGGTGAGTGCGGGGATGATATCACACATTGATCTCACATACAATACACCATCCATTTCACAGAATCGATACTGTGTACTTAATCAGAGTGTTGGCTTTCACTGACACTACTTTCCAGCCTCTACGCCGCCTCCCAGCTCCAGGCCAACTCCTCCGTCCAGGGCATCAGCGCCACTGACCTCTTGTCGTCGCCCACTGCCGAGGTGTCGGGCGCTGGCAACTCTACGAGCCCGAAGAAGCCCTTCGATGCTATTATCGCCATTGGTGTCCTCATCAAGGGCGCTACTATGCACTTTGAGTATATCGCTGACGCCGTCAGCCACGGGCTCATGCGCGTCCAGCTTGACTCTGGTGTCCCTGTCATCTTTGGGTTGCTTACCGTTCTGACGGAAGAGCAGGGATTAGAACGGGCTGGTCTTGGAAATAGTGGTATGCACAACCACGGTGAGGACTGGGGAAGTGCTGCTGTGGAGCTGGGTCTCAAGAGGAGGGGGTGGGCTGAGGGCAAGATTCTGTAAGTCTTGAAATAGCTTGACAGACTTCTACTAGATCTTTGAGAGTTGTGGGCTTCAATGGAACCCTCCAACATATTTGGTGTGGATTTTTGGATCTTTAACAACTTGGTCCTTCGAAATAATTTGTTTTCGTTGGAGTAAAAAAAGAAAACACCATCACAGAACCATAATTCTTTGGGAGCATAATCTATTACATGTTCACTCTTCCATCTGTTCGGCTTGACCCTTGTCCTCCTCTTCTTCATCGTCCCCTTCCAGGGCCCGCTTTGCTGCTTTCTCCGCTTCCTCGAGGAGCTCCTTGGGAACTTCCTCATGGCGACCCTTGGTCGGTCCATCGACCGAGCTGATCCACGTCATCTCGAGCTCGAACTCCTTATCCTTGCTTTCCTCGTGGGCAACATGGATAATGCGGGCAGCTTCCTTCACACCGTCCAACAAAGACAGATTGCCCGAGGTCAGGTCTAGTTTCTCGAGTTCGGCTTTGGCGGCCTGTCGTCCCTTCCCAGTAGCAGCACCGTAGTAGCCCTATCAGATTTCGTCAGCATAACTATCAACTTGCACACACGGACCAGTCCGTCGGAACGTACCCAATACAGCCCACTAGGCTCAATCATGTATAGACCAGGACCTCCAGCCTTGGCCCCCTCGACCTTTCCACCGGAGCCGGACTTGGGTCCATTGCCAACCTGTCCATCAACTGGAAGCTCCGCCTCGGTATCCCATCCACCAACAATAGCAGTTACACCAAAAGGCCGTACGCTAGAGTAGAGCGTGTACGCCTGCACATACCCACCCAAGCGATTAGCCAGCGCGGAGGTCGGGATGGGACCTTTGTATGTGCTTCTCCAGGAGGAAGCCTCATCTCTAGCTCTGGAAACGAAGTGACGACCGTCGGGGACGAGTCCAGCGGATACCTGCATTGAAATTAAGAAGCCAAATTAGCAAAAGGCTATTTCGAAGCATTCGCGATGGCATGGTTTTGATGAAAACGCATTTGGGGAAAGGCAGTTTGAGCATAGGGGAAACTCGATCTCACAATTCCGACATGGCGATCGACTGTAGCGATTCTCTTGTTCGCGCCTGGCTTTAGGAGCTTGCTCGTGATGATCTTCTCCACTGCCAACACTACACCGTCCTTGCATCTGATGCCAACGGCAGTGCCTCCATTCTCGACTGCCTTGACGGCATACTCGACCTAGATGGTATGGTCAGCAGCGTGAAATTGGCTGCCGTGGCTCACTGAGCTGGGTTGCATTTGGTTACCTGGAAATTCCGGCCGTCTGGCGAAAACACCGAGTTGGAAAGATCGTAGCCTGTGCCGATCGACGTCTATTTAATCATCCGATTAGCTTGATCGGGATCCAAAATAGAAGATTGTGTATATCCGAAGCTGACTGACCATAATTTTGGTGAGAATGCGATACGGTGAGGCTCAAGAAACAAAAGACGTCACCGTGGGTAGGCCGGGCGATAGAGATAATCGGTAAATTGAACAGATAAGGGAGGAGAATGGTCGGTTTGGAGGGTGACTATGGATAGGTAGGGTGAGGTTGGAAGCTCTGGGGATGATAACGGAAGTTCCCAGGCACTGAGCAGTGACGCTGTCGCGTCACGGGGTTGCCTGAGAGCTTCTAGTCACATGACCTTTGTATACCTAATCGGTACTTCGGTTTGTATGGCTTCTACATCTATCTCATCGGTACCGCCTGAGTACCGTGTGGTTTTAATGTATATCATGGACACAATGTGGAAACACTATGACCATTTCATGGGCTTATTCTTGACAAGTTAAAGGCACAATGTGCAGTTACAACATAAACATTGAGACATCTCCTAGTGGCCCCCCTCGGACTGCAGCCCAACCGAATAAGCCCTTGGGCATCTTTGCCCCTCGATCTAAAACAAAGACAAAACTCTCTACAGTCTTACTTGGATTCATTTATACAGTGAACAAAACATTTGAATCGAGTTTCGACCTTTTCCCGTTCATTAGGATCTTATTGAACTAGACAGAAATCCACCCTGCCATGTCTTCCTCAATACTACAGTGCCCGCACTACGGGCATGCCTCCAACATCTCAAGTGCACTCGCAGCCTTTATCAAGAACCCTCACTGCACACAGGTAGATTTCGCTCGTTCTTGATTTATGATCCCAAGGAACCTGACCAGGAGGACATAATTACATATAGTGTGGCATGTCTACTTCCGAGAACAACTCCAAAGTGCAAGACGAACTCTCAGCTCTGTTTGATAGACAAATGAGTATGACACAAGTGCATTCTGTCCCTAGAGAAACCACCGTACCATCTCAAGCGCCTGCAATTACATACAGCATCACTCAACACTACCACCACTCGGCCCACAGTATCGCCCGGCCCACAGAGCAGCCTTCAAGCATTGACATTTTGAGACATCACGGTCTTGATGCAAGTGCCCTTACTCCTGATCAGCTTGTGCTCTTCCAGAATGCCGATGCAGAACAGAGAGAACGGTTGATTCAAACATGGCAGCTCTACTCGCAGTTTGGAAATGAAGCCAATGTTCCTGCTGGGGACTTTGCTATGCATGATTCTGCCATGGACGACAGTCCAGATGGAAATGCCTATGCCGACGCTGAACCATACATGGTCTCTGGCTATGAAAATATTGCCAATCAAGCCTCTCATCTCCCGAAAGAGCCCACCACTGGTGAAACCTATGTTGGCTCAAAGGACCCGGTATATCAAGGTCAGCAATGGTGGGAGCTGACAAAAGCTGGTCCGATGGAATCAACCTACGGCGCATTTGAAGAGATGAGACGATATTACCCTAGCTGCGGTGTATACCACAATTAGTTCTTTCTTAGATAGTTCTATTGAAACGAATTCCTTTTGTATGCATTTCTCTATCCTTGTTGTTATTTTCACCCCTAGACCAATGCAGTTACCGACTCATACCAAGGAAACTTATCGTAAAGCCCTCGTCGGCCCAAGGAATTTCTATAGAGATACCCCAAACGTGTAAGCCAAATTTAGCAGCTCCTTGAGCCGACCGGAACTTCTTACCCTTTAGGATTCTGAATTGAAATGGTGTGTGGAAAGTGGATGGAATTTATTGGATTCTAGGTACATGTTTCTTTGGGTTATGTCCATCAACTCCCACCATTCAAGTGCTGGTTTAATCACAAACTCATTCCATGACCAATGGTGAAGATAAAAGAGAGTTCGCCATCGGCAATTTTCATAAAGCATTAACCCATCTATCACATGCCAAATGGGCTTCCATGAGTGCTTTCACGTCGAAAAAGTAGTCGATGATGTCGTGCATATCGGAAATTGAAAAGAGACTACCAAGGAATCTCTGTCGATAAATGCAACACCATGGAATTCAAAGTAAAGGAGACACTGGGAAAAGTCAGTCAAACGATTCCATGAAAAAGGATAGATGAAACTGCAGCGCACCTTTACTCCTCATCATCTTCCTCGAGAGCAGCCATGGCATAAGCGAGAGCATCACTGGTACGCTTGACCTCCTCGGCAGCATCGGCGGCGCGCTTAGCCTTGTAGCAGCCCTGGCCAATGTGGCCACACCACTTCTGAAGGACAAGGGGCAAGTTCTTAGCCATGGCCTCGGCGAGAGCATCGGCAGAGCGCTTGACATCGACGGAGGCCTCGGCAGTTCGCTTGCAGCCCTGGCCGATGTGGCCACACCACTTGGGGAGAGTATCGCCGGGACCGCGACTAGTAGCGGCGGCCTGAGCGGTGCCAGCGGCGAGAGCAACGGCGACGACGACGGAGGTGAACTTCATCTTGATGGTTGAAGGAGAAACCGGGAGGTTGAAATTGGGAAGTTGGTTTGAAGAGCGAAGGACAGATACTGAGAAAGCTCGATGATGGAGATGTCTGGAGAAAAAAACATTCGAGAAGACGAACAGTCATGAGGTTTTTATATTCGCAAAGATCAAGGCATCATCGCTGATTCAACAGTAGTCTTGTTATTGAAAAGAGCATGTTGGGCTTGAGTTTCGAAGAACTCGTTCCTCTGAATAGAGGCATGTTTCTCAATAGAGTTCTTTGTCGACGGATATCAGCCCGAATAGAGGTACTGTTCGAGATCACCCGTTCTGAATAGGGTTCTTATTGATGGGTCGCAGCTGGCCACTCCAATAATGAATTCAGGTCTCATATAGAGGGGATCTAGGGCAAGCCATGATCTCGAATGCTTTGACAGACACGCTAATGCCAAGTGAAGTAAGCTAGAGTTCATCAGTCGTAAAGATCTTTTGTTCGAGTTGATCACTAACCTTAGGTATGTGACATTCGAGGACCAGAAAAGGATATGAATAAGAATTGGAGAAAGAAATGTCAGAGTTCGGGGAAAGGTCAATAAGGATGTATGTTGTAGATTGAAGTTTGGATGTTGAGATCCTTTGAGATAAGATCGGGGCGCTAACCACAAGTTGCTGGATGCCGAGCCCATCCGGAGCCTTTTTTTCCCGTTTTCATTCCCTTTTCCACCCCCCTCTCCTTTGGTGATTCGAGATTCTGTCCCCTTTTCTTTGTTTAACCCTCAATCATACCAAAATGTTCTCTAGAACGGCTCAGCCTGCCCGGGTAAGTTATTCTTTTTGTTTTTTTTGCCTTTTCGTCGTTTCCGTGTTTTTGCGCAATCCTTTTCAAGGCAATTGGGGGCTTCGGCTAACCGATCCTTGCTGTCTATAGACTCTGATCCGCAGTGCTTCCGCAGCTTCGTCTCTCGGTCGCTCTATTCCCGCTAGAAGTACGCCTATCGATCTTCCTTGACGTGCCTCCAAATTCCCGCTAACGAATTTGCGCAGCCTTCGCCAGTGTTCAGTCGGACATCTTCAAGCCTACCAAGTATGGTGGCAAGTACACCGTGACCCTCATCCCTGGTATGCCTCGCATCCTTCGCGCCGTCTCTGATTGCTGATTGCATGGCGCACGCTCTGAACTAACACTTGACAAGGTGACGGTATCGGTGCTGAGGTTGCCGAGTCGGTCAAGACCATCTTCAAGGCCGACAATGTTCCCATTGAGTGGGAGCAGGTCGATGTTAGCGGTGTTGACGCCGGTAACAAGCATTCCGAGGAGCTTTTCCGTGAGTCCCTGGCTTCTCTCAAGCGCAACAAGCTCGGTCTGAAGGGTATTCTCCACACTCCCATTGAGCGCTCGGGCCACCAGTCCTTCAACGTTGCACTGCGTCAGGAGCTGGACATCTACGCCTCCATCTCTCTGATCAAGAACATCCCCGGTTACGAGACTCGCCACAAGAATGTCGACCTCTGCATCATCCGTGAGAACACCGAGGGAGAGTACTCCGGCCTCGAGCACCAGTCCGTCAACGGTGTCGTCGAGTCCCTGAAGATCATTACCCGCGCCAAGTCCGAGCGTATCGCCAAGTTTGCTTTCAGCTTCGCCCTTGCCAACAACCGCAAGAAGGTTACCTGCATTCACAAGGCCAACATCATGAAGTTGGCCGATGGTCTCTTCCGCAGCACATTCCACAAGGTCGCTGAGGACTACCCCACCCTGGAGGTGAACGACATGATTGTGGACAACGCCTCCATGCAGGCTGTGTCCCGCCCCCAGCAGTTCGACGTTATGGTCATGCCCAACCTTTACGGTGGCATTCTGTCCAACGTCGGCGCTGCTCTCGTTGGTGGACCTGGTCTTGTCCCCGGTTGCAACATGGGTCGCGATGTTGCCGTCTTCGAGCCCGGCTGCCGTCACGTCGGTCTTGACATCAAGGGCAAGGATCAGGCCAACCCCAGTGCTATGATCCTGTCCGGCTCCATGCTCCTGCGCCACCTTGGTCTTGACGACCACGCCAACCGCATTTCCAAGGCTGTCTACGATGTTATCGGTGAAGGGTGAGTGAACCAGTGTCCCAACAACCTTGTGAAAAATGACCGTGCTGACTTTTGCTTCTTTTAGCCGCACCATGACCCGCGATATGGGTGGTCAGGCTACCACTCACGAGTTCACCCGGGCTGTTTTGGACAAGATGGAGGCATCCCTATAAATTTTGGAATCCCGCGCGCTCCAATATACCTACCGCTACGATTGAGGATTGTGCCTGCTGAATCTTAAAATGTGTTCTGCACACCGTAGATTGGTTGGCGTGGACCTCATTTGATATACTCCTCTTCCTTTCAATTTAGCTCGAAACGTTCCCCGGCAAGTTATAGCAATAGACATTTTCTTTTGTGATCATAACGTGGACATTCATTGCATTAATATTTGGGTATAAACATCAAAGTAGGCCATGAATCTTCAATGGGCCAACTTCATGACGGTGCCCAGAAGGTAAGAGTTCAACCTCCAACTCATTGCGAGGCCTCGAGCAGGCACCTCACAATCGACTAACTTGACCGAGTTGAACATGCAGGTGACCCCCATGAGCAGCCCCCTTCGACAAGACTATGTGATCAAATTCCGATCCAGGAATTTGAACAATGCCCGAGGGAATGCACATGCACAGACAGAATGGGTGAAAGTTATGTACTTGAGGATAACTTGAACACTCTCTCCATCCAGGCTTTTTCTCCATTCTCCTGTTTTTTGTTTGTTTTTGGAACCCACCAAAGACTCCCAGCGGTGCCCGTAGGCAAAACGGTTCAATCAGAATGCGATTCGTCGTTTGCGGCCAGTGTACTTCGAGCTTGCCTTGACGACCTTGCCCTTCTTGGCCATCTGCTCCTTCTTCTTCATAATCCATGCCTTGTCACCCTTCCTTGGTGGCCCACGAGCATTGTTGATCTCCGCGGCCTTCCGTCTCGCATCCAAGACATTAACATCATCCATGCCATCCACAACCCCAGTAATATCACCCGTCAAACCTCCACCACCAACAGTCAAAACCAGATACAATTTGCTGCTCTTAGTGCCGGGGTCATCTTCAAGGATACCCGCACCAAAGCCAGCTTTGATTGCAGCTCCACTGATCATGCTCCGCTGAACATCGTTTTTCGGGTAGAACTGGCAAACCGCACGTCCACCTCGACGAAGGCTGGCATACAGTCCTTCGAAGAACCGTCGCAGACGGCCTTCAGGGCTCACATCGCTGGTTTCCGCATTACACAGCCACTGGATTGCACTGATGCTGATTGCGGCGTCAAATGTGCCTGGTCGGAAGGGAACGCCCTGTCCGATGTCTGCGAGGAACAGATCGCCTTCCACTTCGCGCTGTAGAGCCACGTCCAACATGCTCGGTGAAATATCCATCCCGATCCATGTGTGCGGGCCGCCTTCTTCGGGGGATACTTCGGAGAGCATCTCGCCTGAGAGACCGGAGCCGCAGCCGAGATCGAGGATGAAGGATGGGGATTTTAAGTCGAGGAGTTCAAGTGCGCGACTCGTCATGCTGGCTTGGATGTTGCGGATTCGCGAGGACTTCGTATACTTGCGCGATTCATTGTCATTGTAGAACAAGTCCGGAGGGCTGGATTTTTCAAGGTGTGGGATTAGTACTTTTTATTTGTTCTTCATGATCGGTAAAATAGATTCAGGGGGTCGTACAGAATATCTTCGGGGCGCGACATGGTGTGTGGTATTGAATGTGCAAGTTGCGTTGCAAGTTGAAGTTTAGAAATTCATTAAATTATTTTTGGTGGTGCTGCCTGAGGCATCTGTACCCCAAAACGTCCACGTTTCTCCGAGTGCATCTCCAACCTCTCTTTGAGGCTGAGTCCCTCCTACATTACTTTTCAACACTGTGACCGTTTGACAGCTTTATCATCACTGGTCATCATGTGGATCCTACCGCTAGTCGGTTATTTCGGGGTGGCTGTCGGGTTTGCCTTTCTCACCTTGGCTATAGGTATGGAGCGATATGGAATCCCGACAAGAATGGAAAAGCTGACTTTCGAAACTCCAGCTTCGGGACTATACTATTTATCCGAGCTTGTGGAAGAACACACGGTTCTTGCCCGTCGGGTGTTGACCCGTCTGATCTACGGCATCGTCGCGATACAAGTCCTGCTTCTGATAGTTGACCGTTTCCCCGTGTCATTGTCTCTGCTGAGCATCGGTTCGCATGTGGTATACGCCAGCAATCTGCGCCGATTCCCCATCGTGAAATTATCCGATCCTCTTTTCCTCCTCTCCTGCCTTCTAGTCGGTCTCAACCACTGGTTATGGTTCCGCCACTTCTCGAAGCCCTTGCCTCCGTCGAACAATTGGCGTCAACCGTATGGAGTTAATTACGACGAGATGCCCTCTTTCTCTGAAGTGGCTTCCTACTTTGGGTTGTGCGTGTGGCTCGTTCCATTTGCTCTGTTTGTTAGTCTGAGTGCGGGCGAAAATGTGTTGCCAAGCATGGGCTCTGAGTATGCCACCGGGGCCAAACCCACTGGCCCAGGTCCCTCTGATGGCAAGTCCAAGAACAAGGGAATGGCCAAGGCCTTGGTGGATGGTGTCCGAGATTGGACAAGCGAGACCGGCGAAGTTATGGGACTCTGGAGGGGACAACGTACGAAACGATTCTGAGCTCGGCCACAGGAATTGATACTACAGATAGATGAAATTTAATGCGTATTCCGCTATTCAAAGTCGTACAAATTGAAAAAAAAAAATTAAAATCGGCAAAGTGGCAGCCTCCATTTCGCGTAACCGTGGATTAGATTTTTAAATAAATAAGAGTAGATAATAATGTATGGACATCAAGCCATAGGGGAAACGCTGAAATATAGAGAGGAAAAGAATTATAAGGGAAAAAGGAGAACTGAAGAGAGATAAAAAGTAGGGGGTATAACGACGGCCAAAATTGCTGACCATGGCATGGGAACTCTCAACTCCAAGGACAACCCATCAAATTTGGTGTGCAACCGCATCTTGATTACCATTATCATTAAAACATTCCCTCGCGACTTTGATGGCTGAGATCGCCAAGTGGGTTAAGTCATCATTCTGCAGTCGTGCAAGTCGTAATTTTTCAGGACAAGAGAGGCAAGGCCACTGGGACATTCCAAAATCAGAAGAGCGTAGAATAAGAAAAGACCGGTGAGAAGCAAATCATGGTTCACTTGCCCTGGTAGAAGGAAGGGTCTTCATGGACAAATAGATTAGTTAAGGCCATGAAGATCTTCTTGTGCTTTGGTCTTACCATCCATAAAGAGCATCGAGCTCTCCCGTCGTTTTGACTTTGCCGAGCGAGTGTCTTCTGAGTCAGGCCCCAACTTGCCATTCAAAGAAGACTGCGAGGTGCCGACACCGGAAGGTTGGTTATACTGCTCATGTCTGGACAACGTCGGTTGGTCATGGCTAGGTTGCATCTGGGTGAAGCTGGTGTCGTAGTGTGTTCTGGGGCCATCGGAAGGACCGTTTGCATTACCACCGGTCCGAAACGAAGTCTGCTGGTACGAAGGCGTAGGGAGATCGGAGTACATTTGATAATGTGAAGGAAGATCATCGGGTGAAAGTGTGTTTTCGACTGTCAGTTCCGTAGCTGAAGTGGCTGGTTTTGATTCAGTGTCGCCAAAGATGCTGTCGTAGTCCGTGAGGAACATCGAGAAAACCGGTGCCGGAATATTGAGAGTTGGGGCAAAGACAATGCCCACATTCCGGACCGTCATCTTATTCACATCAGAATTTCTTACAATCTCGATCAAGAATTGGGATAGAGCCCGTAACAGTGCTAGATTGGGCCTAGGCAATCTGTGCACTAGAGAGTTGAAGGCAACAACCTTCTTTTGGCGATCGTCAAGTTCTGTGAAGTTAGATTGGTAGAAGAAAAGAATACAACCCTGGATGTGTACGTACCGAGAACGCGAAGGAAGTCTAAATGAAGCTCCCGGGTCAAAACTGTCGTCGGAAGCTCTCGAAGGTACTGCTTGAAGAGAGAAGCCACAGCATGAATATCGTAATACTGATCTCCAGACACGAAATCAACATCACCTTCGGTGTTGAAACGTTCTTTCAAGGCTTTGATCACCACATTGGAACCACTTAGACGGAAGATTCCTTCCTCCAAGGCTGCTTCTTTGGCATGGAGATATTCAATACAGCGATAAACCACTGCTGGTAGCTCCATATCAATGCCTGGCAGTCCACAATCTTGCACGGCCTCTGCCAAGGGTATACCAAACACAGGTCTAACAGGATCCGCCCGCTCGACATTGTTGCCTGCTGCTTGTGCATCGCTGCTGGCCTGGGACGTAAGATCGAAAGAGGACCTGCTGCGGAAACCCCATATACTGCGTTTCTTTTCTTTCGTCGTTGTCTTGGGTTTGTTACCCCAGGCTTCCACATCCTGGATGACGGTGCCATTCGTGGGCCTAGATATCAGTCTGGGAGACTGTGTTGTGTGATCAGGAGAAGACATGTTCATGTCCCTGAATTCTGTCAACAAAGCCGTCGGAGGCCGTGGGGATCGAGGTGCTTGCTCAAGAGTGGAACCAATAGTCGGAGGATCAGCTTTTACTGCGTTCTCAAAGCTGAAACCTTGCACAAAGACTCCTAGTTCCTGGTCGGGACTATCAACTCCTCGGCCGAATCTCCTGCTCCCGTTGAAAATTTTAGACTTGGCCTCCGCTCCGGAGAGTGGTTGCTTTTGAGATTCATCTTGAGACTGAGGTTTACTTTTGGAAGATGCTCTGCCACGTCCCTCATTCTCGGAAGAAGCATTCTCAACAAATTCCATGAGAGCATTGACCCATGCATCGCGCTCCTCGTCGCTCTCGGCGCAAAGAACATGTCGAACGAGTGCTGAGGAATCCTTTTTCTTCGGTTCCAAAATCAAAAAAGCATGGCGATACTGGTTGTCGGAGTCTTCCTCGCCCCCAGGAGGTGAAGCGTTCTCGGTGGATTTTGGCGATTGCTTGCCAATCTGGGCATGATGAAGTTTGATAGTCCCCATGTACGGACCACCTGGAGATTCGTAATATTTCAGTTCGGGTCCATCGAGAACAAAATATCTCGCTTTCCAACCACCAAAGTTCTTGCCTCGTTTAGTCAAGTAACCTTCCTTTTGAGGCTTTCCGTCTGGTCCACGTGGCATATCGGACCCTGTCTGGGCGAGACCTTTCACGAGACTTGTCTCGTCGTCTCGAGGCTCTATGGCATCACTTGTCAAAAATTGGCAGATAGCTAGCGCGGCAATCTCATCCATTGGATTTTCCAAAAGTCTGTCAAAGTACGCATTTAGTGCGGCACGTCTCAAGTCAACCTTAGCAGGGGAGTGTCCGCTAAATATACTTTTGTCCGGTAATTTTCCGGCAAACGGAGAAGATTGCCGGACTTTTTGATCAAGTTGTGGCAAAGCACCGATGACTTTTTCAACTCGCCATAGCTCTGACACATCCGACCGCAAGATCACACTGAGAGTAAAGACAGGCTCCTCATCCAGGGACTTGGATACCATATAGCTGTTCCGGGAAGGGCGAAGGCGCGATGAAGATACTCTGACTTGAACCAGAGGAAGGGCATTCGGGGGCAAAAGCAGGCCTGGGTATTCCTCAGACATCAATCCTCGGTAAATTTGGTTGTCAGGAAATTGTGCAGATCTCGGACTATCAATCATGACTGTGGGATCAATTAATGGGATAGGACGTCCCGAAGGGAAGAGAGCAAAACTCGTGGAGTAGTTGTCCATTCTTGGCAAGAGCGGCAACCCTGGCGTCTGATACACGGCTGCCATGGAAGTAGACATGTCTCGAGGCATGCGAGGCATGGGCGAGTTAGTAGGTCGATCTTCTGGTCTCGGGCTCAAAGGCAGTCCAGGGCTCTTGGGCATGGTAGCGATAGATCGCCCATTTCTTGACGAAGCAGGAGGCGGCCGAGAGCCCAAAAGCGACCCCAATGAGTGAGAATCATCTACACTCGGCAGTGATCTCGTAGAAAGCTCCCTATGGACCGTTCCCGGGCTATACGTTGCTGTTTCCCGGGAGCTATGAGAGGACACTGCCCGAGCGGGTCCCACAGGACCAGTAGACTCAAACATATCCCCCTGCAGCGCGGCTTCACGGTCCTGGTCGTCCTGCTCTCTCGTCATTCTTCGCCCACGGCCCTCACTTGGAATCTCAAATACATCCTGGTCGTCGCCATAATCTGAACCGGAATCAGAATCAGATGCCGAAGATGCCATGTTGTTCTCTGCTTGTAGATTCAAAGGTGCAGGCGGTGGTTTGCGACTTGGATGCTGGAACACGCTCATTCCTTCCCCTACTGGGGATGGGATATCTGTGGCAGAGACTGGGCTCGTGTTTTCGAAGCTTCGCCTAAAGGCTTCAGATGGTGGGACAATAGATGGTTGGTCTGGTTTGCACGACACATCCTCTTGATCGCTGCTCGGTACGGCCACAGAGGCTAAAGGCTCGGCAACGGGTAATGACGAAGCGTCTTGTGTATCTTTAAGCCTCTTCCGATATTTATCCTTCTCTTGAAAAGCACGCTCCAGATCCTTGTTGAGGCCAAGAATCAAAGCTCTTTGTTTGTCGACCAATTTCCAAAGTTGCGCGTTTTGAGAGGCCGCTTGGTGTTTCTCCTTTAAGAGATGTACAATTACAGCCTCGGCAGATCCAGCGGCGGTTATGAGATTGCTAATGTCGGTTGGACTGAGAGCATTGACATCAAAGATCGACCTCTGGGAGTTGGAAGACAGGGATGAAATTGCAGAGTCGATCGACGAGGTCCTAGGCATGGCACGATTGGGTGCGCGATCTCCCGGCATCGAGTGTATAGAGCTGATAGAGGAAGAGGCAGATCGATCAGGCCCCGGCGCACGGGATTTTTTCGGCATACTACTCTCATCAAGTTGGCCGCTGAGATTCCCCGATTCTGTTCCTACCATTTCTGGTGATTGCGACAGACCCTGGCCTATGCTAAAGGGTGGTGCAGTGTATTGTGCATTGCCCACACGAGTGATTGGCGACCGATTCTGATAGGAAACAGGATTGCCGGATTTCGGAGAAAGAGGACTCTGGGATGATTCAGAGCCGTCGACACGATTTGACTGAGGCAGGGAGCTTGTATGTAACGGGGAAGGTGTGATGTGTCGAGAGCCAGGAGCAGATCCGGGGCGTTGATCAGATCGAGCTAAATAGTCCCGCGGGATAAGGCCGTTGTTGATCGAGTAGCCAGACTGGATCTTAGAGGAAGTTGGCGAGCTTTCATCGTTCCCTTGCGAAACTTGCGACATGGCTGTAAGAATTGAGACTCATCAGAGTGGTCACGTTCGGGGGCGACACGAGGCGAAGGCCAAAAGGGGCGAAAGCGCGGAACCCCGGAAGCTTAAGCTTGAATGCCAGGGAGAAAAAAGGGGGTCTTGTTAACCGATCAACCAACTGCGAAGAAAATAACGGTGAACACACTCCCTGGTGGCACAGAGAATGAGTGTTAAGAGGGAGAGATACCTCGGGAGCTTAAGAGAGTGAAGTGAGGGGGGGGGAGAGAAAAGGGGGTTTCAAGCTAATAAGGATAATAACAAACAATAAAAACAAGATCAATATGAAAGATATTGGATAGGATAGTCCCAGTACTTTTGAGGAGGCAAATAGAAGAGGAAGTGAGGAAGATAATTTGAGATGTGTTGGTATGCAGACCTGATCCCTTTCAATCTCCTGTCTCTCTACTCCGGGTTACCTAAGAGAGTAGGAGAATGAAATGTGTTGTATACAGTCTATTTCTTTGAGGTCTTTTCTGATTTTACTTATCAAAATCAATAAATTGCCTATAAAGGCTCTTTGCAAACACTATAAATGGGAAAAGGGATATATAGACTCATTTGTGGTACAAAGCCGTCCTAGCATTCGGCACAACTGCAGTGGAACCAGAGCGATATGAAAGTGATTTAGAAATAACTGGATGTTGGTGATTAGAATATTTTGAGTGTCCAGGGGAATACCCGGAGATCGTCTCACAGTTGGACTGGGTTGAGTTCTGTTTCGTATTTGGGTTGAGATGGATTCTATCTTGAAAAATGACCTAGACTCCCCCGTAAATGCAACCGCAATGACTAAATATAATATACAGACCCAAATGTGAAAATGAAAGATTAAAGTGCCAGTCATATAAAAAGTACAAAATAGTACAATTAGGCGATGTTTCCAGCCATGCCCATGAAAATAGCCTGGGCGGCCAGCTGAAGGGACCAGAACCCGACTTTCTTGAACCGCCTTTTCCGGGCTTGATCATCCACGACATCTCGGGCAAACGCATCGTAGGTCTAGAGAAGATATCAGCAACGACCAAAGTAGGGAAAAGAGAAGAGTACTCACTGCAGCTGACAGGTCATCCATCAGGCCACTGTCAAAGATGGTCCAGCTTCCATCAAAATCTTCAACTCGCTTGACCAAGCGGCAATTGATGGGAATTAAAGTGCGCTTGGAGTTGATATAGGCAACAATAGGACGGATCAGTGCGTTGTTGATGTAGGAAAGGTCCCGCGTGAAGATGGGCACAACAGCCCGAACATTGTTGAGGTGCACGCGCAAATCCATGGCGAGGAAGCGTCGATCTTCAGTCTCTGATTCTGGACTGGTGGACGAAGATAGAGGCTGCGGGTAACGATTTGTGGTGACAGTGGTTTCCAACCGATCATAGAAGTCAACCATCACCTTGGCCAAGCTCTCATCGTTTTCTGCAGGCAACATGATGTCGGCCACAATATCTACCGTCCCTTCGTGAATCCAAGAGAATGGGCCCTGAACACCGCGATTAAGATGATCGACATTGAGTCCGTCGACTCGAATCCTGTTATGTTTCTTCCACGGGCTTGGCTTGCCGTCTTCTTCTGCTACGCTATCCTGCCGGATGCCTGTGAATCCATGGGTTTGACGAGCGTGGATCGTGAACAAAGAGTTGTCATACGACCCAGACATCATGTTGGCAGAGAGGAAATCATAGAACAGCCATTGTTTCCGCAACTGAGGGAGATCGCATGAGAAGATGCTCACAGAAAAGGGACGGAAGTTGTCCGGTTGGTAAACGGTGACAAGCAAATCATGCATCTTGAAAGAGTCGATTTCGAAGTCGCCGGGAGTATGCTCATGTCGATAAGATTTAGGATCCAAGTCCTCCTCCGGCCAGTAGACATGGCGGCGGTCGACAACACCCCGTATGCCTTTCACCTCAACATCATGAAGTGGACCCTTTCCATTGAACCATTTGGTAAATGATAGCGTCACGTTGACCGTCTCGATCGACAAATCAAATTGTGTGTAGTTAGTATCTTCCTCTTCATCGGATGCTGCCTGGGAATCTTCGAATCCAGTGTCACCTCGCGCTGCGGCCGCGGCTGCCGCAGACTTCGGAGATCCCTTACTGACATGACCTGTACCTTGGCCCGGCCGTTTTGACACAAATACATTCTTGAAGGTGATGACGCCATTTTTCCATTTGGGCACGATTGCAGATTCAAAGACGACTTTGACTCCAGAAGACTTGGTGAGATAGTTGCCCACCCATCCTGCCAATGTTTCTGTTTAAGCATATTAGTATCCAGGCTTTGCTACAACGACAAGTGGTAGTACCTTGAGCAAAGACTGTGTTGATCGCAAGGATCAGAAGCGAGAAGAATGTAGTAGTTCCCACAACGACCCAGACGATGTGGCCTATCAAAACCCACGAAAAGAGGGCAGCTATCTCATCCAAATTGTAAGGACGAACACTCCTTATAGAAAACCATTTGAATCGTACTTTGAGGCGTGACCAGAACCCAGTTGCTGCGGCCAAAAGCTCCTCCTTGGTTGGCCGATGTAGATGAGGCATATGTGGTAAGCGATCCATTAAGTGTCGACTGTTCGTTGTAGATTGTTGAGTATCTTGGGAAAGTTTGGCTTGTGAATGCGTGGTGGATATATCTTTGCCGGATTGGCCGAGATTCCGGGTATGGTCATTTTCGTTGCGTTCGTGAGTGTCTTGAGAAACCTCTTTCCCACGTCGATGGTTGTTAGAGGTATGTAAAGTTCGTTTCCAGACATGCTGGGCGGTAATTTTGGGAGTGGAGATGATGCATGCTGCCGTAGTGTCCGCAGCAGTTGAGGTAGGCGAGACGCCAAGGACGAAGAAGCCACCAGAAGCAAATCTTTTCGTGAAACCAGTGTGTTTCCTCGGGAGGGTTACAATGCGTTGAGATTGATTCGGAAGGGACGAATCAAGAAATAATCTTGAGCTATAAGCATCGGGGGCCAATACGCGATTTATTCGCATGCGACCAAGAAATGGATTGGCTGCTTCCCAGATGTGGGTGTACAGCCGGCGTCCCAGATTAGCAGACATCTTTGTCTTCACATCCTGGACATGGATGAGAAACTTGACAAGATAATAGGACAGACACGCTGTATCATGAACAGCAGTTGACTTGTTGACAAGAAGCTTTCAAGCTTATGAGAGTTAAGGAACCCAGATGAAATCATCTGAGTTTGTCTCGTTTGCATCAAAAAATCCCTTCCGCCCAGCCCACATTTCATTTTTCCGTGAGGGGAGGAACTGATTAAAATTTGCGATAACAGTTTTTATGGAAAAAAAACTTCACTCTTTAATCAACACAATGTCGGCACCTACAGCTATTCGCCAGCCAGAACAGGCTCAAGGGTTCCAGCCTGAGAATGTCTCTCACAGTTAGTGCTCGATCTGATCTGCAAAAACCCTCTTCATCTAACAACCGAATAGATCAAGATGACGAAGTTTTGATCGATGTACAAGCCACCAACGAGGGTACCCCGGCTAACCCCGTTGCCGAGTCTACGGAAGACAGCGAAATGCGCATCGACGAGGAAGGTCGCCCTGTCTTCACCCCGGCCAAAGACGTCGCCACCGCATATAAGATCGAAACACGAAAGGTGCCTGTACCACCGCACCGTATGACCCCGCTCAAAGCGAGCTGGGCCAAAATCTGCCCTCCTATTGTCGAACACCTCAAGTTGCAAGTGCGAATGAACATCAAAAGCCGATCAGTCGAATTGCGAACCTCGAAGTTTACCAACGATGTGGGAGCTCTGCAAAAAGGTGCCGATTTTGTCAAAGCCTTCACTCTTGGCTTCGATCTCGACGATGCGATTGCCCTCCTCCGACTTGATGATTTGTATATCCAGACTTTCGAGATCAAGGATGTGAAGACTCTGAATGGAGAACACCTTGGCCGTGCCATTGGACGTATTGCAGGCAAGGATGGAAAAACCAAGTTTGCAATCGAAAACGCCAGTCGGACACGAGTGGTACTGGCAGACCAGAAGATTCACATTCTGGGTGGATTTAAGAACATTCACATTGCCCGAGAGGCAATTGTCAGCCTGATTTTGGGTAGCCCTCCGGTAAGTCTTGATCGTATCAATCGTCGAATGAGAATTTTTTAACACAAAGTAGGGCAAGGTTTATGGAAATCTTCGGACCGTCGCCTCGCGAATGAAGGAACGCTTCTGATTCCAAGACTCATATAGTCATCCGGCATGGTGTGGGCGTTCAGGTGCATCAGGTTTTACGCTGTCTTCTTTTTTTTGACCTTGGAGGCATGACGACGTATATATAGATATCTATTCATGGAAATTTCATTCAATTCGATTATGTTTGTGATCCACAGATCAAAAAAGAGCCCCGTGCACGATAAGATGGCCATGATCTACCATGCCCTGTACTTTAATCCTGCTTCAGGGCGTGGAACACCTCCTCGATCCCTTCCCGTGTAACGATCAGCATTTGCAAACCATCGCCAACCTCAATGTGTCTCTCCACGGCACTTGTGAAGGCATCCTGTACAAGCTTCTTAGCCGTCTCCTTGTCCAGAGGCTCAGCCTTCTTGGGCACAAGGGCATGTCCTTCTCCGCTTCCCGGGATGTATTGGTTCTTGGAGTTGACTTGGTTGTCCAGGAAAGGCATGATCAAGCTGGATGCCGCACCGGCAGCCCGGCACTGTTCCCGCTCGTAAGAGCCCACTGGGTCGTAGCTGTACAAAGCTCCCACGCCTTCCTCATCCAGACCAGCCAGAATAGCATGTACATAGTATGGGAAGAAGCGCTTCTCGTAGAGAATAGTCGACAATCGCTGTGCACATGCTCCCACTGACATGGATTTCCCATGTTGGTACTTGTACATCTTCACCACGGTGTCCAGCTTTTCCTTGAGAGCGTTTCCATCCGCGGCAAAACCAACAACGGAAAGAATGATGGTAGCTCCCTCACCGGTCTCATCATCACCGCCGATCTTGAAAACTTTGGGGACCATGCGAGAGTTGATGTTGTAGCCTGATGTGGAACGAGTATCACCAGCTAGGATAGCGAAATCAGCACCCGTGATGCCGAGGGTGGAACCGCCATTATCGGTGTATCTAGTGTAACGGTTAGCCAATTTAATGCTCATAATGAGCAGTTATTTCTTACGGGTAGAACGAATGTTGTTTGACATTAGCAGTTGTTGGCTCAGAGAAGGAGTATCCGATAATCCCAGACTGATTACCCATGAGCGGCGTCATTTTCGGGGAGATATAGCTTGATCGAGATAACTATCACAATAGCAGCTTAAAAAAAGATTAAAGTGTTGAATGTAGAAGACTCTCGAGCTTGGGGAGTTCTAGAAGATGGAGAGCAGAGAAGCTGGGTGTCTGACGCGATGCGGTAGCTGCCTTCTGATTAGGTAAGAAACATCCAAGCTCCCCGAGAGTCCTTTCTCGATGGTTAAGCTCGGCGGATCATTTGCTCTTGGACGTCGAGTTTGGCAAAATCTGATTCAAAAGATTAAAACGGTATAAATCTCTGGATAATATACAGTGTTCGCTTGATCCCTTCAAATCTCGAGGCTTCTACCCAGACACAAACTGCGACGTGATGCTTGGTCTTGGTGACTATGAGAGCAGCAGTGAAGATGAGGTAGAGCACAAGAGTTCTTCACCCAATTTTCTGGCATGTTTACCCCCAAAATGGGACTGAAGAGGTGCTAATTCCGAAACAACAGTGTAACAAGGATAGACCACCTACAATCTCACAAGCTGACCAGAACGAGGGTAGCGTGCCTCTAAATCTCCGCGGGCCAGTTAGCTCCAAGAGTTGGCGCTGACAACTTATCTAGATCAGAAACCATTCCACCAGCAACAAACAGAGACACGCTCTCACATTGCCGCCGATTCAGTCCCAGAAGGACCTGTCCTTGGCCCCGCTGCTATCGACATGGCGCTCCTCTCGGAGGACAAGCATTTGACAAGCGGACGCTCATCTCCCTTTTCCGCTTCACGAGGACTCGTTCAAGACCTCACTCTACCTCCGGTTCCAAATCTAGACATCCCACCATCACCTCCTGGGTCTCCCAACCCAGCCGCGAACGCGAAATTCGAGCATTTCCTCTCGCTCAAAAAACAAGGCGTACACTTCAACTCCAAATTGGCCAGCTCTTCATCGCTCAAGAACCCAAGCTTGCTGAAGAAAATGATGGAACATTCCGGGATCAGTGAGCAATCGCAATATGATACATCTCTACCAGCTGATTTATGGAATCCCTCTAATCTACCCAAATGGGGGTTCAAGGAAGAGCTCTTGAGAACACAACTGGATTCTCGCAAAAAGTCGGAAGAGAAAAAGGCATCGGGCCAGCGAAGCTCGGTTAATTTTGTCTCTGGGACTACCTGAATATGCATTCAGCGGCAAGCGGGCCAAAAGGATCAACCCTAAGTATCCCACAACTCGAATGGCGTCGGGTGCGACAGTTCTTTCCAAAAATGTGGAAATTTAACAAGTTGTGCTATAAGGATGGCTCTGGCACATAACCTGAATGCTTCACATATTCAGTGGCACAGTATTTGCCTGCTCGACGATGGAGTTTACGTTCTGGCATCGTTTCACTCAAGGTCTCTTCTATCCTCTTCCAAACCCCAAGACCACGTGCCCGTCTCGGAGAGCATAATGGTGATATGACCAAAGACTCTAGAAGGACTCCTGGAATATCATCGATACCAATTGACATAGCGCACACTTGAATTTGTGTATATTATCATACTTGTGGATCGAACATTGCAAAAGAAGATTCTTGTTTCAGGCTCGCCACCACCGCCGGACGAACTCTATTTGCGCTGCCTCATCTTCTCAAACAGACTTAAACAACAAACCAACACCATCCGATCAATGTCCTTTTTGTATTCCACTCTGATATGAAGTTTCCCATTTCTGCCGGGTCTTCTCACACCTGAAAGCGCGGCCATTATTCGCTCGGTGTGCTACCATCCACAAGCCTAAAGTTCCGACCAGATCATTTAGACCCTACTGAATGTTTAACACCAATGCTGCGTGCTCGCTTCCACGGAGATGACTGGCTCCCCCCTCTGGACTTGATCAGATCCGCATCGACACATCATTTCTGGGCGGTATCCTGGGTTGTGGAGGAGATTCCTGGTCATGTCCTTCCACTGGACGCATTTCACATCGCCGGGGTTCCCAATTGCTATTTAAATCTCTGCACGACTTCAAAATTTTGGAAGTGGCCACAATTGGGGCCTTGCTGCTGGTACCAGCATGGAGAATAAGGTCAGGCTTGTTAGGGGTGAACATAAATACTTTGGTGCAAAACAAAGGCTGATCATCTTCCGATTTGGTATCGTGGTGCTTGCGGAAGAGCCGGTTGGTGGTAACATACGTGAGAAGCGCCATTGTCATCAATGGGAGGGATAGATGCCGTTGACCCAGCACGACTAGAATTTGGAGAAACGGAGAAAGCATTCAATCCCCTAGAAAGAAGTTTAGATGTTTGAAGATTGCCGAATGGTGGAAAGTACTGCATCATCTAGTATACGAGGTCCACAAGTTTTCAAAGCATAGAGGGATTATCCCTTTGGAAGAGAATGCGAGCACCGAATCAATTTGTACGAAAGAACAGACCTCGGGAGTAACTAAGTATATATTAAAGGGTATACAATCCGATTGTCAAGGTTTGCATTTGAATGAGATATAAAACACATTTGTAGGGTCTAGTGGTCTATATAGTACACTGGTTGATCTATGAGCCGTGACCCGCGAATCTTAGTCAGCCGAGCTCTCCGTCAGCTCGCCTGCCTAAGGTAGCTCCCCATCTTTCGTCATCATTTTACTGTACTGTCCATCTGTTATCCTTCCTTCTTGTCCGCAATCTACCTCACTTTTTCAAGAGCCCCGTTCAAACTGTTGACTTATCTCCATTCGTCATGAACCACTTCCCTGAAGCTTGGGGTCGCGTAGGTGGCACAACTTTCCCAGTCCTTGCTCTGTTGCTAACTACCCGTCCAGCCCAGGAACGATGTCTACGGCGCCTACGACCACTCATATTTGCAGACCACAGGCCCCAAGGTCCATACCTCATCTCCTGCAGTGACGGGGACGTCAGTGGTGGCTGTCAAGTTTAATGGCGGAGTCGTTATAGCTACCGACAACCTGGGTACGCCGTTCCCTTGTCACGTTCCGTTTCCCTCGCTGCATTGACGTCTGACATGTTGTGATTTGTGAACATATAGCCTCCTATGGATCTCTGGCTCGTTTTTCCGACGTGAAGCGTCTGCGTAAATTCGGTGATAAGGCAATTGTTGGCTTTGGCGGTGACGTTTCCGACATGCAATATCTCGACCGTCTCCTCGACTCCATGGATATCAAGGAGAACTACTCGCCTCATGGCAACATGCTCAATGCCAAGAACTTGCACACTTACCTTGCAAAGGTTTTCTATAAACGACGCTCCGAATTCAACCCGCTGTGGAACCATGTCCTTGTCGCAGGCTTCGATGCGCAAGGAGAGCCCTTCCTTAGCTCTGCAGATTTGCTCGGAACGACATTCTCTGCTCCCCATCTGGCTACAGGCTTTGGTGCTCATCTTGCGGTGCCGATCCTGCGCCGCAAGTTCCCCGAGGGCACCCCCCTTGAACAAGTCAGCAAGGAAGACGCAATTGAGGCTTTGAAGGAGTGCTTGAAGGTTCTGTTCTACCGTGATGCACGAAGTACCGACAAGTACTCGATTGCCGTGATCACGAAGGATGGTATTGATTTGAAGGAGGACGAGCAGATTCAGGGTCAGAGCTGGGCCTTTGCCGAGAGAATCAGGGGATACGGCGCCCAAACTGCTTAGATTTCTTATTTACGTTTATCTTTTACATGTAATGCACACGGAATTACGGATGCAAAGATAATTTTGGGGTCCAAATAACTACACTGATCAATTGCAAAGACTGAAACGCGCAAGTAGCCATGCACAACTTGAACCAGTGCCAACCCTTTCACTGGTCTCAAGGCAAGCTCAAGAGAATTGAATCTAGAGCTTGGCGCTAGGCTTGTCAAAGACCACTCGGTTGACACAGGACCCGACTCCCTCCAGCGCAACCTCGACTTCATCGCCGTCCTTTAGCCAGACAGGAGGCTTGCGGCCCATGCCCACGCCTTGGGGTCTGTCAAATAGTTAGTCTATCGGATTCAAGCGGCCGTTTACTTGCTTATCTGAGTGTACTCACGTTCCGGTGAAGATCAGATCTCCAGGCAAGAGTGTAGTTCCCTGAGACAGGAAAGCTATCGTCTTTGCCACGCCGAAGATCATATCCTTCGTCGAAGAAGACTGGACCGTCTGCCCATTCAACTTGGTCGAGATAGCCAAATTGTTGGGATCCGAAATCACCTCGGAAGAAACAATGCCAGGACCAAACGGTGCCCAGCCGTCGAAGCCCTTACCTAGTGACCACTGACCACCACCCCGTTTGATCTGCCAATCCCGGTGGGAAACATCGTTACCAACAGCATAACCCAAAACATATTCCAGCGCCTTGCTTTCGGGGACATTAGTGGCCTCTTTGCCGATCACAGCGACCAGTTCGCACTCGTAATCCAGACCCTCGCCCTCCTGGGCTATTTGGGCCACGGGAATATCATCTCCGGGCCCGGAAATCGAGGTGATGGGCTTGTAAAACAGGATTGGATACGTAGGAATGGGCATGTTGGACTCCTTGGCGTGTTGCTCATAGTTGAGACCCAGGCATCGGACTGTGCCGATATCCTTACGGGCCAGGGGTGCGAGGAGCATTCTCACATCTGCGACCTGCTCGGTAATCCGATATTCGCCGAAGATGTCACCCTGGATGACCCTGGCTTTGGTGGTTTTAGCGATATCGCTCACTCCAGATGGAAGAATAGCATTGCCGTAATAGACTTGGCCATCCTTGGCCAGGAAGCGGATGAGGTGCTATATGGGAAATCAGCATATGTTGATGCAATGAGTACTTTCAATCACGTAATTGATCGAAATTGTTTTTTTTTTATTTTTTTTTGGTTCTGTCTTCTATGTTGAAATGATCGAGATTAATCTTACTCACAGTAAAGGTAGACATCGCGAAATATGCAGGGAAGTTCAGAAGTTCGAGGGGATTAAGAAGGGTGATCTCTGAGTACTCGGGAAAGACACTCTTTTTCCCCGGAAACATCTCCAGCTCCACCCCAATGATTCGCACTCTTTTCCCCTCTTCACAGTGAAATTCGCAATGGCTCGGCTCTCCGGTCTACAGAGAGACGTTTTGTCTCTATATCGCAAATGCCTGCGGGAGATCCGAAATAAGCCCGAGGTGGGTTATCTCACCTCATCGCCCGTCCAGCCCAGCTGATACCGATTCTATTGTAGGACTCCAGGATCAATTTCAGGAAATATGCCCGGTAAGGCTCTATCAATTGCCTTTCTCGCAGTCCTTTCCTTCCCTTTTCCTTTCCGACGGCATCCCCCCTAGATACCGGTGCAATCCGGCTAAGATGGACTATAGGGCGGAGTTCCAAAAGCACCTGTCGGTGAATAAGAAAGACTTTAGCACCGTCGAATATCTCCTGCGCAAAGGTCATCGACAGCTCGAGTTATATGCTACCCCGGGAATCCGCAATATCCGATGAGCGGACGGTGCCAGACCCCAGAATCTTAGGGTTTGGGGACGCCTACACGGCTATAGTGTTGTATGTCTCATCTCTTTCAGCCTCTTGTCTCCACCAGTTTACTCATTGAAATAGAATCGGAGATCTCCAGCGTCGCCGGTTCCCCAGAAGACGGAATCCTGGGACACGTTGAAGAGCTGTCGCAAAAGACATGGCAACGCATTATTGGGTTGAAGCCCTGTTTTGGAGGCATTTTGTAGAATAATATACCATAGTGTTGCATGGACTATTGGGTCAGTAGAGCTTTGTCATGGTGTGTTCTGCCTAAATTACTGTACCAAACTGTTGACTCCTTGTAAAGATTGGAAGTTTTGAGCTTCATAAAGTAATTACCAATCAATTCTGCACTCAAGAAAAATGGATTTGTCAAAAGCTATTGGATTGTTAGAATCGGGTGTGGAATGGAGTGTGGTTGTGTCCTGAAGTTGCTGGCGGCTGGTAGACTGCGCCACAAGCTTCTAGATGCTTCGGCCGAAGTATAGGAAATCAACATCCAAGGCCGTCGAACAGAGATATAAAATGGCAGATATTCCAGGACAAATGAAACAGAACACCATCATCACAGCCTCTCTCAGATACTTTCTTACTTTCTATCTATCCATCTGTCAATATCTCCTCAAACCAAAAAATCTCTCAAATCCAAAACAATGGCCTTCTTCACACAATCCGGCCTCTCACCACTCTTCCTCCTCAATGACTACGAGGCACCCAACCACTACAAGTCTCGCCAATGTCCCAAGTCCTACCTGTGCTCCAAGCCTCAAGCACGCAGCTCCTCCTTCGCACCGGCATTCGACGTGCGCGAGCTGACAAATGCCTACCACCTCGACGGCGAACTCCCAGGCGTGGACCAGAGCAACATCGAGATCGAATTCACCGATCCACACACCCTCGTGATCAAGGGCCACTCAGGCCGTGACTACATCAATGATGACAGCAATGACGATGCCAGCTCAAGTCGCAGCTCGTCTCCTGCAGGCTGGCGCCAAGCCACGGTTGAAGACGAGGACGCAGAGTCGACTAGCTCGGCCGACACCGCTGCCTCCAACGCTCCTTCGCACTCCGCCATGAAGGACCAGCCTCATTACTGGGCCAAGGAGAGGTCGGTCGGTGACTTCCAGCGCACTTTTAGCTTCACCGCGCGTGTTGACCAGGACTCTGTTCGCGCAAGTCTGAAGAATGGTGTCCTATCTGTTGTCGTGCCGAAAGAGGCGGCTCCTACGCCGAAGAAGATTCGGATCCTGTGATTTGATATCGACAAAAAGAGTGTCACAGTGCCATTGGATTCAAATCCGTGGGCTTGATATCTTTGATTGCATTGGGATCTCCGGGCGGCGTTTCTTTCCTGTATTTTGTACTTTTTATGATCTGACTTAGTGATGAGGAATAATCTAAATTGACGTTTATCTTATTGCTATCCCGCCTGTAGACACTTAATATGCATCTGCATTGCTGGGTGGGCTGTAAAGAACTTGGCTACTTCGACCCTGCGCCTGGCATGTTAAACTATAAAGCCCCCGTGTCTGACTGGATGCCCTTACTTCACATAGATGAATAGCCAGGGAAGCGCTGAACCACGGAGCCAGTTACACGGTGAGAGATGTGCAAAGAAAGGATGACCAGATGGCCGAAGCCTAAGATCGCATCTCATCGGTGACATGCATTCCAGGGATCAGATTGAAAGGCCAAGCCTAAAATTGCGAAACGACATTTGATTGCGGACAGAACTCATGGATTTTGTGCATAACGCCAGTGATTCCTACCAATTCCCCTTCCAATTCCAAAAAAGGGTATACCTAATAAGACTCCATATCCAAAATTGTGTCAAAACTCCCGCCCAAGTCCAAAATTCCACAAAACTTTTGTAGACGCCTTAGGCAAAGGAGGCAAGATCCAAAAAAAAAAAAAAAAAAAGAAAAACATCCAAAGGGAAAAAATGGCCACGAACACCGTGACCAGAAAAATTAATAAACCAAAGAAAAGCAGTTGTTATGTGCACAAATCCGTCTGGTGGTGGGCTTTTGTCAACCGACGACGGTGATAGTCATTGTTCCGGCTTCGGGGCCGGCCTCGCATCGGCTCAGAGGAAGCCAGTTCAGCATCAAAGTCAAGGTCCTCCTGCAAGTAACCCGGAGACGTCATAGTTGGCGGCGGAGGAACTTCAGCGCCTGGGTTCTTGCTCCAGATGCGACTGCCCAGTCGGCTTCTGGGTCGAGAGAGTTGTGTATCGTACCCTTCATGAATCTGGTACTCAGAGACCGACCTGCGAAGTCGCTCCTTGGTTTGAGTAGTTGGGCGTTGGTGACTGAGTTGTGATTCTCCACTTGTGGCAGACCTTGTAGCAGACGCAGGGCCAAACGAGCTCATGGACAGTCGATCCCCATACAAAAGCCCCCTAGTAAAGCCTTGGTGGCTCTGGTATGGAACAGAGATCACGGCGGTAGATTGGAACTCGACGAAAGATTCACGCGGCGAGAAATATTCCGTGTATCGGGGCGCACACAACGTTGACCGACGCGAACGTGACGGGGCGAGGGGAGTAGGGACACTTGCATCGTACCAGCGAGAAGCGGCTGGATAAAGCCTTGAACAGTCATCCGGGGATGTCTGCAGATTCTGTAGCGCTTTATCGGCCGGTCGATCTGAATTCAAGTCTTTCAGGAGACAGACGTTCTTTGAGCTGTCCGCACCACATGAGCCAGATGTCCGCGAGCCAGCAGAGCTCTGCGTCCGACTCCGCGGCATAGAATGAACCGAGGTGGCAGAGCTGTAGCCACTGTCAGACTTGGTGAGGGATTGGGACGTGCTCCGGGAAAGACCGACGTCCAAAACGCCTTTCTCCAGTTGGATTCTCGTATCGTCGCAGAGGACAATCCCTTCATCTTCTGGGTCCCCAGGGAATAGGGATTTTCTTCGAGGCTGGATTGTGATAGTGGGAGACTTTTCGAAAGAGAATGGACTGTCCGGAACATCGTCCGATCTCTTCAAGTCAGGCAAGGAGGGAATCTCCAGCGTCGACCCCCGGCTAGGCCCAACGACTTCTATGTTTTCAAGGCCAAGCCCAGAACCTGGAGCGCAGGACCCCTCCAAAGGGATGCGTTCGCTCGGACATGGGGAGGCCGAGCCATTCACAACTCGCAAAGACCCCAATTTGAGAGCGCCGAGCTGAGTATATCGAGCATCCATTGGACTCGCCGGCCGCACTGGGGATGGCAGGCGCAGCGATCTTTGGGCCAAAGGTAATGGCCATTGCAAAACGGTTGACTCAGTCGGATCCTCGATCGGGTTTTCAGGCTCTCCAATGGGCGATGGGACACGTCGAATGGCAACTGATGCTCGTCTTGTGGCAACCCCAGGTCGGGTCAGGAGCGATCGCCGACGAGTTAGCGAGAACCGTTGGTTGCCAACCAAAAAGTGGGTGTTGGAAGATGTCGCATCCCCAATTTGGGTTTCATAGACAGCGCTATTGTGTCTCTGTAGGGGAACTCTAGTTGAACTGGCCCGTTTTGGTGGCTGGTCATGAAGAGGCGAGCATTGGGAAGCTGATTCCCAAGGTTCCGACTGGTACGAAGTTCTTCTCGAAGAGGTTGCGCTTAACAGGGCTGGGCGGGTTGGACGACACTGTGTGGGACTCTGATCACCAGAGGTTCGATCCTCAGTCGGGGTCTCTTCGGGCAACTTTGTTTCAAAGAGGGTAGGTGGGATCCCTGCCTTCTTGGAATAGCTGCCCCTTTTTTCCACCGAGGCACTGGGGCTATTTTTGCCCACCCAAGGATTTTGCCACCCGATCAGCCCTGGATTAATTGCTGAAGGGTCTGCCTCGGGGCGTTGAGAGCTTTGACTGGCATTGAACTTCTTGGTCAGAGGCTTTGAAAGGCGGTTGGAGCGGTGGGTCTCGTCTTTGGCTTTGCTCGATAGGGAGTTGCCCATGACTTCAGAAGCAGATGCGATGCAGGTAGATTAGATTTGCTCCAGATTCAACTGGGCAAGTGTAGTAGGGGGCGGTAGCCAGAATGATATACAATTAGATTAAGGGCTTGGTCGCGAGCACCGTTCCCCCGCACGACAATGAAGTGACCTAGAGAATTTCCAAGCTTTGTCCCGATAGGAGCTTTTCAGATTAGATCGCACCCCCGGACCACTGACGTCAAGCCACGCCCTGATTGCCCACGCAATCCGAGCTCCAAGCTCGTGCAACCGCTGGATTTGGAATTGAGCGTACGATTGGCGGCTCAGGATTCCCCAACAATCCCGGCGATGATAGGGGGGTCCGTGTTTCAGATTGGGTGCGATGCAGGAATTGGTTGGACTGGAGAGCAGACAGATGACCGGGAATATTGAGGTAACGTTGAAGGCAAATAGCCAATCTTCAAAGCCGGGAAGTTCCCTTCTCAACGCAGGATTTGAATTCAAGATTTCAAGAATTTCAGGATTTCAGGATTTCAGGATTTCACGATTTCACGATCTCGGTTCACGGGGGAGGATGGTAGATCAGGGGTAGATCAAAATCGGCAAAAACACCATCCGATCGCCATTAAGGTTATAGACAAGCGAAAAACAAAATTTCCAAAGAAGCAAAAAAAAACAACGAACAATAGAAATTAGAAGGGAAGGGGAAACATACGATACATAAGTGGAGTGAGATTCAAAGTACTCCGTACTAGCAGACGCAAGCATTCAAAAGTTCTCATGGCATTGGCAGTGGAGCTGCATGCAGCTCCACGACGAAAAAAAAAAAAAAAGGTAACCTACTGCAACCAGGAAGAGAGAGGTACTGAATACTTTCAATTCAGGTGTCCTTGTAATACAAAATTGATGTACCCTATACATCCTTCCATGTTTGTGTTCTGGACAACTCCATTGTTCCCCCTCTCTCTCTCTCTCTTCTGTATCCGGTCCACCGCAATCGACGTTCTCGTATACAATTTTTTTTTTCTTCTTGTCGTTTTTCGCTTTTTGCTGTTTTTCTTTCTCTATGGGATGACCTTACACATGTATCTGATTTGACAGTGACAAGTGGCAAGGTCAAGTGCTCTTACTCTTGCGAAAACCCCCATACCCTGGCCACACTGCGTTCACTGAGCGTCTGCATCCGGGCACGCTGGTGCTCCACACGGGGTACTTGAGTGACCTCTCACTAGGAGCTGCATGGCGGCATCTTGTTCTGCATTTCCCTTCCTGGTGCAGTCCGAGTTTGAGGGTGCATGTCAAGATCTCGTCGATCGATGCACTTCGGCCCAAAATATTGGCTGGTCCACCGTTCGATTGCTCATGAAGGTATTCATTTTATTCACACAACCACTAAACCACATTTGGTCCCTTGTTGTATGAAGTGAAGAAGAAAGAACTGATGAGAAATATATGGATTGGATGGAACTAGTCAGATGGAACCAGCCTCAGAATAACAAAATGGGTCGATATCCCTAGCCCGCGAGAATCCTCAGCGCTGGAGGACCTTGAAGAATCACAGGAAGACGAGGATCCGGTCTGTAGAGTTCTAGCCCCTCCAGGGGACGTGTCCTCCGTCCACTTGTCCTGACTCTTCACCGCAGGAAGCCCTCGTTCGCGTCAAACCTCAACCCAGCTTACAGATCGATTATGACATCTTGTTGTCCCCCACATATCAGGTCCCCGTCTTGTACTTTGGCCTCAGGTGGCACAACCACGGCCCACTCGGACTAGACGAAGTCTACCAGTATGTCGTACCGGAACGGTACAGGCAAGAATTGAAGAGTGTGGGTGTAATGGGCGGGATTAGTATGGGTGTAGGTGCATTCTCCGATCCTCGTGACAAGAGCTCATGTCTTTTTGTTTTTTTTTCTTTTTTCTTGTAGTACCATCCTGACTCTGGCGCCCCGGCCTTTTTTGTCCACCCATGCAACACCGCGGATGCCATGGCGAACATTGCAGACGCACAGAGCGTCACTCCTGGGTCATATCTCCTCATCTGGCTCGGCCTTGTAGGTCATTGCGTGAACCTGCACGTCCCACGCGAGCTTTTCGCTTAGCACAGTACCAGCCAGTACTCTTGCATATGGTGGAAACGCTGGGGAATAAAAAAAAATCCAAATGCAAAGCGAGGACTTTAAGTTTCTCTCTCAGTCCACAGTAGGGCCCCGAATCATTAGATTACTCCTCATCTGAGGAAGCTTCCATAGGCACGTCGCTATCTTCGTCCATCGGGGTCTCTTCGTTGTCGCTTTCTTCTTCACGCGGTCGCTTCAAGCCATGGGCCTCCCCATTAGCTTCGGTCGTCGGTCGGGCGGGGAGTGCGCCCGGAGGACCACCGAAGATAGACTTTTGGAGGTCTGTCGAGACTGGGGCTGGCGCAGCCTCAACTGGCGCAACATATGTGCCGCGAAGTTTGGAAATGACATTCGAGGATCCTTTGGCGTAAACAATTTTCTGGACCTTGAGTGAGCGGGTGTTTGCGACGGTAGAAGGATAATGACTACATACCATCTGTTTCCCGAAGAATTCGAATCCTTGTAAAGCCCGCAGTGCCTGTGTACTAGCTTGGACATCCTTGAAAACAATGTGGGCCTGGCCTCGCATTTTGACGGTCTTCATGGTCACCACGTCGAGAACGGTGCCGTATGTAGAGAACAGGGCATAGAGTGCCGTTCGGAGATCATTTTTCTGAATCCTTCGGTCGGGCAAATTTGTGCAGTAGAGTCTAAGAGTTGTTAGCACCAATGCGCGACAGTCTCCTATACTTGGAAGGGCAAGCTCACGTCTGATTGGGAGCGCCGGTAGCAATGGCCTTACTGTCAGGGCCTCCCCGAGCGGGCAATGATTTTGAAGCCATTATTCGGATAATTAGAAAGGTGCGAGGAATTAAAGTCTGATGGGAAGAGTAAATAGGATAGTGTATGGGAGAAATAAAGCTCAATCGCGTGCTGTGTCCATGGCCACTCAAAACCTCGACACAAAAAGTAGCTTGGGGTCATGTGATGTGTTCCCTTACTAAGCGTCTCCGTCATCACCCAGCTCCCCTCCTGAACTACACAACCAAGTACACAAACACGACGGTAGAGAGATCCTCCTGTCGTAACTACATCCAACATGGCCGCTCCTCAAGTTCACCATCTCTTCCATGCACCAATTGCAGACCACTCTTTTTCATCCGACAAGAAGACACTTGCTGTCGCTCGGGAGAACAATGTGGAACTGTATCAACAATCAGGTAACAAGTTCACGTTGAGCGACGAGCTCAAGGGCCACGAAAAGACGGTCACCAGCGTTGATATCGCTCCCAAGAGTGGTCGAATTGTCACTTGCTCTCAGGGTATGTTTTGGCACGGCTCTTTTTAGTGTTCCATGTACAATACCTAACAGGTGGTCGCTCCATAGACCGTAATGCCTACGTTTGGGAGCAGACTCCGACCGGATGGAAACCTACTCTGGTCCTTCTCCGAATAAACCGCGCTGCAACTTTTGTGCGCTGGTCTCCGTCGGAGCAGAAGTTCGCCGTCGGCTCCGGCGCTCGAGCGATTGCAGTCTGCTACTTCGAAGAAGAGAACGACTGGTGGATCTCGAAGCACATCAAGAAGCCTATTCGCAGCACTATTACAACCCTGGCGTGGCACCCGAACTCCGTCCTGCTGGCAGCCGGATCGACCGACTCTCACGCCCGAGTCTTCTCGAGCTTCATCAAGGGCATTGATACCCGCCCGGAGCCGAGTGCATGGGGAGAGCGCCTCCCTTTCAACACCATCTGTGGTGAATACCTGAATGATACCGCTGGTTGGATCCAGGGTGTTGCCTTTTCTCCTAGTGGAAACGCGCTCGCCTTTACTGGACACGATAGCAGTGTTACTGTTGTGTATCCCAGCGCCCCGGAGCAGCCCCCGCGGGCGATGTTGAATATCGCGACCCGTTTGCTGCCGCTCAACAGCCTTATCTGGAATGGCGAGACCGAGATCATCGCTGCTGGACATGTAAGTTGTTTCAGTTTTTTTTTTTCCTAGTAACACAATGGCTTGCGCTAACCGTATGCAGGACTGTAAGCCTTTCCGTTTCCGCGGCGATGAGAATGGGTGGCAACTTGCCGGCTCTCTGGAGAATAAGGCTGGAGAAGCTGGGGATGCCCGCGAAGAGTCTGCCTTGAACATGTTCCGGCAGATGGACCTCAAGGGCCAGGCCCAGGCGGACACCAAGCTGAAGTCTACCCACCAGAACACTGTTCACACCATCCGGGCCCACGAAGAAGCTAATGGGGTTGTGAGCTCCTTCAGCAGTAAGATTGCCCCAAACTCCTGGAATCAACGAGAGACTAATGCATCTTGTCATAGCGAGCGGTGTCGACGGTCGTGTTGTCATTTGGGCCGCCTGATTTGAACTTCCTTTTAATACTGGCCTTAGTCCATAGTCAGCATGCATATAGTATTGGATAGAATTCTTCGAGCACATTCCAGTCCCTCGTGAGCATTCAGATTACAAGGTCATTGCTTTCACATACACATGTACGTTGTAGTTGTAGTTGTAGACCCAAGTACTCCGTACTCCCCGGGGTAGTGCCCCAAGATCGGTCCAATGAAGGAAATCGATGACATAATGGAGCTACCCCGGATTTCAGCCCTGGAGTCAAATCTCCACACTACAAGGGTTTGTTCTCTTCCTTTAATGATGAATTACCCCGTCCCTCCTACCAAAATCAAAATGTTCAGCCATGACTAGCACTTTGTTATCTCATCTACTGCTATACATCTGTTTCCTGAGCCTCGTCACTGCCCGGAATGAGAAGCATATATCAACCGACCTATTCAACTCCCTGGAAGAGTTATCCCGGCTCGTAGACATTTCATACTGCGTCGGAACAACGGGAGTACAGCAACCATTCCAGTGCCTCAGCCGCTGCGACGAGTTCCCAGATCTAGAACTAGTAACTGTGAGTCACCTACCTCCTCCCAAGCACGACACTCATCTCCACGAGGACACCCAACCCACTAACCCAACCAACGCGCCGCACAGACCTGGAATACGGGCGTTCTCCTCTCTGACTCATGCGGCTACATAGCCCTCTCCCACACCCCCACCGCCAAACAAATCATCCTCGCCTTCCGCGGCACCTACTCCATCACAAACACCATAATCGACCTCTCCGCCTATCCCCAAGCCTACATCCCCTACCCAGATCCGGAAGAAAAATCCACCACAACCCTTATTCCCGCAGATCCCCACTGCGAAAACTGCACCGTCCACGCGGGCTTCATGCGCTCATGGCTTCACACCAGAACAGAAATCCTTCCAGCCGTCACCACCCTGCGCCAAAACTACCCCGATTACGCCGTAACGCTAGTCGGCCATTCCCTTGGCGGCGCGGTCGCAGCACTAGCAGGACTGGAGATGCGTCTCACGGGCTGGGATGCGACGGTGACGACGTTCGGGGAGCCGATGATCGGGAACGGGGCGTTTGCGGCATTCCTCGATGAGCAATTCGGGCTCGTGGATGGGATGTCGATTCCCTCGCTTGAAGGGGGTCAGCGGTTCCGTCGTGTCACGCATTTCGGGGATCCGGTTCCTAGGCTGCCGCTTGCTGAGTGGGGATATAGTCCTCATTCTGGGGAGGTTTTTATCATGAGGGAGGGATTGCCACCACGGAGGGCGGATGTGGTTCATTGTGCTGGTGCGGAGGATTCAGGATGTATTGCGGGCGGCGGGGCGGAGGGGGCTTTGGCTGAATTATATCGGGATTTGAATGTTCCTGTTGGACTGGCCGGGTCTGGTTCTGGTGGGGAGGCGTGTCTGTCGAGTGGGCGTGATGGGGGTCGTAGAGATGTTTCTGAGGAGCAGGCGGTCTTGGGATTTGAGAGTCCGGATATTGCTGATTGTGAGGATGGATTATCGCCTCTCCGGTGGGATTGGTCTCTTATACCGGCGAGGTATCGGCTTTGGGAGCTGTTTTATGCTCATCGAGATTATTTTTGGCGAATTGGTCTTTGTGTTCCTGGGGGAGATCCAACTGGGTAGAGTGTATCTCTATCTATTCGGACTGGATACTGGCGTTGGCTGCTATATTCACGGTTAGTGTACCCCGGATGTCCCAATTTGCGCATTGTCAGATACCTTGCTTTGAGAGAAATGTCGTTGTAGTCCGATCTCTATAATTTCATTTCTGATATTGTTACTCGAAAGCAATTGCAAGCCGAGCCAAGTATCAAGTCAAAACAGCGGTGTAATTATCTCGACGTAATCAAACAGGCTAGGGGAGCAGGGAAGACAATGGCAGGCAGACATGCAAACACGCCCAAAAGCAGCAATTCCAAACAACCATCAAAGCAGAACAGTAAGAATGCTGTGTGGGAAATAAGACAACGATCAAAACCAAAGGACCCCCTGATACATGTATAAAAGACAAAAGACCCTCAAACATTATCACCGACCGTGATCTAAACTCGGCACAATCACAGGTCCAAACTTAACCACACTACCCAGCGCCCCATCCCCCTGAACCATAAAGTCTGCTGCAAGACTCAACTTATGAGCCCCGGAAGGTATATGGCCATATGAAGGATTTATCGTCTCGGGATCATAAGCGACAATAGCGACGTAGTTCCGACGCGCCATGAGCTTGCGGTGCTCACGGGGCTGTCCGTTGACGTCCGTCTGGAAGATTTCCATCATATCTTCCTTGGTATCGCTCACCTGGCCTGAGGATCTGTGGCCGTTGGAGGGGATATAGAGAGGCTTGCTGTGGCTGTGTAGGAGCTTGATGACATATGACGGGGGTGGAGTGTTGACGACGGAGGAGGCGATGAGTTGGTACATTGTCTTGTGGTCTGAAGGGTTTGAGGGGTCGTGGACGAGACCTGCACCGCAGACGTTGACGGCGCCGGAGAGGAAGGTCATGCGGATTGATTTTTGGTGTGCGATGCCTTGCAGTGTGCGGATGAGGTATGTTCGTTCGAGATCCTGGCTTAGGGTTAGTATGGATCTAATTTCGATAGGATAGTAGTTATGGATTTGGTGAGTAGGGGGACGAACCTTCGAGTCGTGTGTCCATTGGTCGCGTAGCTCGTCCATCGAGTTGAATTCGCCAAATGGACTCAGTATACCGCCCATCAGTCCGGATTTGCCTACGGCTCGCTTCACAGAGTCAAAGCCTGAGCCAACGAATTCTTTGGCACCGACCACTCCGGCTACTGAGCTGGTTACTTTGCCTAGCACATTGTACGCGCCGGTCACGGCTCGCTTTCCTGTTGCGACGGTCTGGACGATGTGTTCTGCCGCTTCTAGACGGGGATAGATGAGTGGCACGGCGACCATCCAGAGACAGTGTTGCACACTCGGTGGTAGCATTGCAACCTTCGGGAAGAGACCCTGGTACGTGGGGCCGGCCATTACCTGATGTGGGTTTCTTTCCGAGCGGCAGTCTGGACCGACGACGACAACGCCGGGGCCTAGATATTTAACAAAGTGCCAGCCTGTGCCGGTGATGGTGAAGAGGTCCATGTCGTTGTTGACATTACGGAGGATGTCGAGGGTAGTGTGGTGCTGGAAGAGGAGGTACATTTCAATGCCGATACGGCCGATATTCTTGAACATGTTCGAGAACTGCATATGCTCGGGATACGAGCCGAATCCATCAAAGCTTTTTATGCATGTTAGTGCTGCTCTTGGCTATTGCTGTATGGGCGACTCACATGTCATGATCGTCAATCTGGCAGACATAAGGGATCTGCGCAAACGACTCCCTTATGTGGGGTTGATCGAAATGGCTGGTGTAGTAATGGAAGTATGCGTAAGACACATCCTGCTGGTAAGCTGCTGTCCAAGGAGCGTTCTTTCTAGCCTCTTTTCCGCTGATAGCCAACCACTGCTTGAGAGATGGAATCTCTTTCCACATGCGATCCGCATAAATCTGACCCCCTAGACACAATTGGGCGTGGAAGCCTCCAATCTCATTGTGTTTTTGCATAATATCCTTCCACATGTAACCGACGCCCCCCAAACGAGCCCGCTCACCAGCATTTACATTGAGCGAGAAGTCATTTCCAGAGGTAGCAATGAACCGCCAGTTCGTCTCGTATCGACCAGCGACAAGGAACTCATAGCGAGTGCAGCCAAGGTGTGACGTGATGGCGTAGGTCCATTTCGCAGGACCCGCATCGTCCATCTGCAGATCAATCTCATACCTATAGAAAGTCCAGCGTTGATGGGCGGCAATGCTGACTGCCTTCAATTGTCTCGGATTTGGAGACAAGTCTAGACTCTGGTGCATATGAATCGTGGGTGGCTGCGCGGCATCTGTCACAAGCAAGATAGATCCCATCCAGACTCCGTGCTCGAGATCCATGTTGGTGTAACGCAGATAAGGACCAAAGTAGACACCGTTGGTTGGAGTGTTCTTGTACAGATCCATGCCACTACTCGGAGGAGGCCCAGAGAACCCGGACACTATAGGAGACTGTAGGATTTCGAACCCAGGGGTCAAAGGCACACCTGGTGATGCTAGAGGCTTTCCAAAAGCCGACAGACCCGGAGAAACTAGCGGGTGGGCGCTATACACACTTCCCACCGGGGACAAGGGCGTTTCGTTGAGATTAAGCGGCGTGGGTCCCTTCGGAAACTCCCACTGAGTGGATTGCGTGGGCAAGTGGATATAGTAATACTGGCCTGAGTTTGGATCCATGTGGGCAATCCATCCCTCCGGAAGAGGTGGTGGAGATGCTGGACCTGCGCTAGAGGGCCCCGGAGAAGTTACCTGGATTGTCTGGTGGTGGAAGCCGGACAAGTCATTAGCAACAGAAGCCTGTGGGGGTTGGTTTGTTTGCTGCTGCTGTTGCTGTCTCTGGTCATTCGCAAAAGCGGGATGATCCTGAGGCGAGACTGCGGGTGCAGGGGAAGGCGTTTTTGTGGCAGGAATGGGTTGATTTACTAAGGCTGGGTGCATCATTGCGGCTCCAGCAGCAGCTGGAGCTGCAGCTGCTGTGGCTGCCGCTAACACCGCACCGCTTTGCTTTTCATTAGGATACCCATTCGAAGCAGAAGGACCAGATACACTTGAGTAGGCGGGAGGGGGAGAGGAGCTGAGACGCATTCGGTCCATGTCTTGTTCCGAAGCGTTGGGTGCAATTCTTCCTGGCTGTTCTTGCTGCTGTTGCTGCTGTAGCTGCTGTAGCCCAGATGCAGGGTGCATTTGGGATGGTGATCCACCGTACTGGCTAGGATGAGCCTGAGGTGGGGGGCTGTTGTATTGGCCCGGATGAGCTTGTAGTGCTGGGCTGCTAGTTTGACCCAGGCGAGCCTGAGGCGGTGGAGTGCCATTAGACCCCGGCATCTGAGGTGGCGGACTGCCGTATTGACCCGGATGCACAGCAGTCGACTGATTATCATCATTGACTAACTCATCACCCTGATAAACCATAGGAGGTCCATGAGGCTGGGACCCAGGCTGTTCAGTGGGAGTCCACGGGCGCCGTGGCTGCTGCTGCTGTTCTTGTTGCTGCTGTTGCGGCGGCAAAGTCGGCTGCTGTCCGGAGTACTGGTCAGCTCGTCGCTGTGCAGCGACGTTATGCGATTGAATACGTTGTAGGGTTCCAGTGCCCGCGATACCAGCAGCAGCATAGCGGGCCTCAATATCCGAAGCGGGCTGCTGGCCCGGTTCAACGATAGGAGTCTCTGGTGGCGGGGGTGAGCCAAGCTGTGCGCGGGTTGTCGATATGGAGCTAATGCGATTGAGCGGGCCTTGCGCGGCCTGTAGAATTGACGGGGGACGGGCTGCAGAGATTGAGCTTTGGCGTTGCGGGGGCGGGTAGTATTGTTGACGGTAATCGTATTGAGTTGGATTTACTGGTGGCTCTGGTGGGCCCGGTGGTAGACTGGCTGGGGGTCGGGGGTACGGTCTTGCAGCTAAGGCTTCGCGGTCTGGCGCATCGTAGCTGGGAGATTCGGGCAGCGGCTTTGGAGCTGCTCCTCTTCGTTCGGCTAATGTTGCGACTCGGGGCTCACGGCCGTCCCGCGGCCGGAGCGCTGTTGGGTATTCGTTTGGACTCACGGTGCCTGAGCCAGGACCAACTGGCGAAGACCCATGTTTAATGTTGTCATGATGTCGGTCGTTTGAATTTGAGGTGTGCATCTGGAGACGTTGGCGGTCATCTGGGTAGGGTAGCGGGGCGTTAGGCGGGGAACTGGAGCCCGCGGCCGATGCTGGAGATGACGAGTCCCGTTTGTTGATACGGAGAGGGCCGATGGTGGGTGATTCTTGTCTTGCTGGGCGGTCATTGAGGAAAAGCTCCTCGGAGTGAAGGGCACGGCTGCTACTATTCATTCTGAGAAATTGCGGCTGGGCTTGAAGCTGCAGAAGACAGAATTCAGCCACAGCAGAGTGCGTCGAGGTAGTAGTCCCAATTACGAGGACAAGCGCGAAGATCGTTCAGTAGATGCGGGGCACGGGGAAATCTTCGGGGCTATCTCATCAATTCGTAGAAGATGTCCGAGAGTAAGAAGAAAAAGAAAAAAGAGATGCCGAAGGAACAGGAAGATTTTCTGTAGCCGCCAAGTTGAGCGAGACGCCGACCCCGCAGGTGACGAGAATCATCACAAGTTGCTGCCTTGGGGCCTGCATGTTATGTGCTACATAGGACTACAGAGAACTTCAGGGGGACCAGATGTAGTTTAGATGTTGATCTCTGTTTACAGTCTAATCTATGGGTCATGCAGTTCCATCAAACATATTCGTCTCTATAAAATACAGCCCATATCCATCGTCAATCATGCTAACATACAACCCTCATAGTCCCCATAAATACAAATATGCCCTTGTAGCGCCTATGCTATTCAACCCCCCGAAAAATCAAAAATCAAAAACTCCATTGTCCAATCAAAACCCGAAATTAACCATTTGAAGCCCCTCTTGAGCAATCAGGTCAGACCAGTCCACATCCAATGTATGACCCACATGCATGAGTCGCTCCAACTGCCGCTCATAGACAATCTGGAGGATTGCACGAGTTGTTGCAGCATTGCGGCCCATACCATCTTCCTCGTCTTCCATGCTAGTCATCAATTCCATTGCCATCATCTTCAATCCACTAGCTGATGCCGTAGCACCTGCTAGGAATAAGGGGAAGACGAGGAAGTGTCGATCAGCCCGTCGAGTGTGTGTAGTTCGCTCGGCTAAGCGCAGGATCTCTGTTACGTGGTGGTCTATCTCTGCGTCTGGGGAGAACTCGGACTCGACACGTTGTCCGGGCCACATGCTGCTGTAGGAGAAGAGTTGACAAACGTGGTATAGTGTAGCGGACTATAAAGAGTTAGGTTCACTTTTTTTTTCCCCAGTAGATGGAGAGAGTGAGAGCGGAAAGAACTGACCTGCTGCATAAATTCCCGAGACCGCCGCGGGAGGTTATCCTGATGTTGATGTAAGAAGGCGACATCGGGGGATTCCCATAGTCTCCCGAAAGCCTGGCGCAAGTCGCTTAATTCCTGAGATCTCTTATCAAACTCTTCGAAGGGCACATTCTGTTTATCATGACGAAGGCGAGTAGCCAAAAACCCAAGTTGAGCGGCTAGTCGGAATGTATCGTGGTACAGACGCATGATCACTGGTAGACTTTCATGCTCGTCGGAGTAAATCACACTGTAGCCCTCTGGGGCAGAAGGGTAGAGAAGACATTCCGATCCAGGGAGCATCTGATGATCGATGACGGCTTGTACGAACCCTCCCGTCCCTGCTCCACTGAATAGGGCATATAAATCAATGTGGCACACCCACCAGAGGATAAATGGGTGGGGTTCCTGGCCATATTTGGCCCGTCGAAGGAATGCGATGTGAAGGAGACGAGAGATATGGTGAGACCAGAGATTCGAGCCGTGTGGCTCAGCGGCTGCGATCTGAAAGATGTCAGTATCTAGACTAGAAGGAATTGCCGATGGAATTCTCTTACCTCGTAGATCAGGAGCAGGAAGTGGGTAAGAAATAGTCCGTCAGAAACAAGATCATCGTTATTCCGTAGACTGACTTGAAGCGAGGGAAAAGCTTGTTGATAATATTGTAGCGCATCGACATTGTGACTTGTGCCGCTGTGCGAGAGACTGAGGGCTGATACAGCCATCATAGCATGGGAAAGCTGTGATTCTTGTTAGCAACGGACAGTGGCTCAATAATGACAATACCCACAGGAGGGAACCGAGTGGCTTCCTGCTCTAGGAAGTCCATGCTAAGAGTCATAAAATGACTATCAGATCCACGAGAATCATCGAGCCTATGGTCATGAGGGAACAACTGCCGCCATACGACTCGACGGAAGTGAGAAAAGATCGTAGAATCCTGACCTTTCGGATCAAGGCGCGGGCCTAAGAAAGTCATCTTTTCTACCTTCACATCCGGCGAAGGAAGTGAAGTGAAAGTTGGAGAAAGAGACAGATTGCAGAAAGGATCTGAGATCTCCGATGTTGGCGAGATCCTCGTGATCCTCCCATTCGACGACGAGCGGCGAGTAGCATCTTCAAAAGTCTTCAAAATGACCACATTAGGATCATGATCTTTCGAACTGGAGTCGCCCTTGGCCGCGCTTGTGGGGCTACTAGCCACAGAGCTTCTACACTCGCTGGTTGGATTTGATCTAGCTTTCTCAATTGTCTCATCTGCATACTCTGGCAGCGAGGAGAAACTGTCGGGTGTCATGACGACATGGTACGTGCCGGGACTAAACGCCTCTGCTTTCCTTTCCCGCTCTTCGTCCGAAGTGAGCAGGAAAAAGGGCGGAAGAGAATCCCCGGAAGAGAAATAATCGGTTCTCTCATCATTAGAACCCGGCGAAGTGACTACTTCTAGTCAGTGCTATTAAAAAAACCTCTCTTGACAAAGAAGGTGCTTACGATCCCAAACGACGTGACCATTTGTCTTCACATCGGCCATGCGGCCCATGATACGAGGGGTATCATCGCGAAAGGCCAGCCGTGGGCGATAATCGCAAGTATGGCCTAGACGTGTACATTGCTGTCAAGAAGTATAAGCAAACGTGTGGAGATTAGCAAAAGCGTGAAAAATGCCATACATTACATTGCGGGTGTCCTTCATCACATTTGACTGGAGAATGTGTGTCAGCCACGAGATTGAGACGGGAGCAGTTCTCCAAGCCACTTACCCTTTCGACTCTGGAAACCAAACGAAAAATCACCAATCAATCAACTGCTTTTCGTCCGATTTAATATAACACAAACAAAGAACTCACTCGGCATGTCCTAGATGAGATCAGCTTTGCATTCGGGGTTGAGTCATCAGATAGAGAAGATCACTTACCAGCAACCGGTACGAGATCGCGGAGGCAAGCGGATGCGCGGTGGAGCGATCAAGGCCTTTTCGGACTTCGCAAAGGCGTCAAAAAGATCTTCCTTGGGAGCAATGATGGGTAATCGCAGAGGAGGTTTCCCAGAGATTTTGCTCCGTCTGTTTTGCATGACCAGACTGGTCGTCATGAGGCTGTGCCATCAGCTGATGTACGGACAGGCCGAATTGGAATGGACTTGCTATAGAGTACGTACAGTACAGGATAGTATATATTTAAGGGTTTAATCGTCAAAGAAAAGAGAAAGCTAAAGAAAATAGTATGGGGGAAGGCAAGGTAAATTAAAATGAAGTTATATGGAAAACAGAGGGGAAAGGAAAGAGACTAGATGTATGTTTGCATCAGAAAAATGCATAGGGAGTTCATGGGTATTTTGGACGGGTGGCGTAAGGAAAATGAAATTAGAATTTTATGTTATTTGATGATAATTCAATGGTTCGATTTATTTCTTATCCGATGATTAGACTATTTGGTAAAGGAAGAGGATAGAGCTAAGGGGAAAAAAAGTGAAGAGAAAAAAAATTTAGACCAAAAAAAGGGAAGGGAAAAAAAAGCCAAAAAAAAACAAGGAAAATGAGAGAGGGAGGGAGAGAAAATTTTTTTCTCCAAAAAATAAAAAATAAAAATAAAAACGCTATATGGCATGCAGATGCCAACCATGTGGACAACTCTTGGAAAGTTACTATTATTGTTATCCCGGACTGAAAGGGAGATAGGGGAAGACAAAGATGGGAACAGGGGCTGAAAGTAAGAGAAACCTTGGACGAACTCTGGAGGAAATCAAGGCTTATCCCTTGAATCGGAGCCGAAGAATGAGCTCAATTAGGAAACCCAAAGTGTCTGGGGAAACTAAAACAAGGTCTCGATCGGCCCGGACCCCCGGTCTGGATCGACCTGTTGAAAAATCGAAGAGATCACACCTTTGGCCCAATTGGGTTAAGGTTGGACTCATTTGGAGGTTAGACACTTTTCGACATGTTTAGACATTCTGGGACTCTCCGCATTCTAAACGGACTTGGCCGAGAGTTAAGCGAGTGGCGTAGACTTGGGCACCTGGGCATTTTCGCGCAGGAGTTTAACTTGCCTCTGGCTCTGTACGTGTTTTCCCAAAGGAATTCCTATTGGTACGATTGCAAGCCCTCGTATCGAACCCATGTACAAAGATGCCCAGAAATTAAGAAATAAGCATCCTACATGATCGACCTGGAAATAAAAATCTCAAACCCAAACAATCCACGTGGGATTCTTAATTTGGGAAAGCCAAGGCTTCGTCCAAGAGACGCTGTACCGGTTCGCATCGCTCACTGGTTCTCCAATCACGAAGTCGGACGATGAGGGTGTCAGGCACATCCGCATGGGCATGCGGACATAGTTTCAGGTACGCCAGAATGGCCTCTGCACGACCCTTGCGGATGGCCTCGACAGACCCGTCTACTGGCCCCGTGAGAATCTTCTCCGCGAGAGCAGTCAAGGGTGCGGCCATTTCCTCACCGGAAGCCTCCGGTGACCCGATCCACTGATCCACTCGTGTAAAGAAAGCCCGGAGCTCATCGTAGCCCGTGCTCACGACCTGTCGTCCACCAAGGTGGAGGGCTTGGGCTAGCGGACTGGTCACCTGTTCCACGTACTTTCCCAGCACTGTGGTTAGCGTTAGCAAGGAACGACGCTAGGGGTTTCCCACAATTTGAGGTGTAATTTTAGGGGGATTGGGATTTGGGGAGCGAAGGGGGGGGGGGGTTAGACTGACCTTCACCCGAACCGGCGGTGGCATTGAAACATTGCAGGAGACATTGGACACACGCCGCAAGGGTGTCATCTTGGGTCAAGCCGCGCCCATTCTTCGAGTCTATCTCCATCTGGTCTTGGTCTTGGTCTTCCATCTCTTCCACCACCCCCGGAATAATCTTTAATGCGTCCGTCATGAAATTGAGGTCCTTGCGGGCTTGTGCGATCTCGCCCATTGCTCGCAGTCCATGCG